TTTGCATTACAAAGCAGAGCTTGCAACATGGTAGCTATTTATAGAGGGTGTTTTTTTTTTTACTTTTCATATAATACAGTAGTCACACAATGAATATAATAAGGCAGTTCATATTTGTCTCAGTGAATCATTCATTTTTGACATACACCTGTACAAAATACTTGGACAAAAGTCAGCTAAGATTTTCTGTTATCTTGCATGTTTTATGAATCTATTCACTTCTAAATGCAGCACTTTTTTTCTGCGATGAATCATTTGTTTTTATACTAAAATATCTGAATAAAGCTATAAATTATGTTCCTTAAAATAATTAAACAAATTAGACACCAATGTTTTTTTAAGATATTTACATCTATCAAGGACATTCGGTAGACTGATTCCCCACTGTTGGTTCAACCCCAAATCTTGTTTGTATTCAAAATTAATTATGACAATGCATATTTCTATTGAAACAAACTATGATAAAGGGAATAATATTATATAACAAAGGGCAAGGTCACCAGAGTTCAACTATGTTGTACAGTTTTTGGCAGTGTTGATTGATACGTTATTCGTGACATGCACCAACTTCATTTAAAAGAAATTTGGTTCATTCACAGACTTGTACTTGGTCATAACCACACTCAGTATTATCATTATATTATTGATTAAAGGTTTATCGTCATGGTGCCCGAGCTCCTGGTTATGTTTACCCAACCGATCCAAATACATTGGACACCTGGCCTCAAGGGGCATCTCAGCTCACACAGGTAAGCCTTATATTTATCCAAAGCACATACTCACTGTGTCAGTTTTTGAGCTTTGAATCCTAAAAGAAGATACAGAGTGAAAAGTACAACTGCTTCTTAGCATTCAAATGTATCCTCCATTGTTTAGTTTGTAACTGTGCTTCAAAATCATGGATTTGTAAACTCCAATAACACATTGTAAATTGCCAATAAATGCAACAATTAATCACATAATTTTGCAACATTATCTTGATAATATTATATGAATACAAAGAGTTATTGGCTTTCCATTCTTCAACTAAATTCAGTTTCCAGTCTATGTAGAATAAAAAGTAACTTTTTATGAGGTTTTACAAGACTTCCTTGTATAGAGAATCTTATTTACACTACTTGTTTTATCGATACAAGTTTTCTGTTGATTATTAACAAGTGTGGAGTAGGGGTAACCTTTTGAGTGTCTTTGGAAAGTCTGCTCCTCTCCCACAGAAAATGTTGATAAAAAGTAACAAGCTTTTTGATCAAAAACTAATAGTGATGTCTGAAACTGTCTATATAACTCGAAATGATGAAAAAATTGGTGAAAATATTTGCACTGAAAAATATGTGGCACTCGAAGTGTTAAAATAATGATGTCACTAGACCATGAGTGGTTGAATAGCTTCTATAATACATTGCTCAATTTAACAGCTACAACTATTAAATCAGTTTAGTCACATGACCAAGAATTAGTACAAGTGTCTATAAGGTAACTGCTAAAAGCCAAAAAAAAATTAAAATTGATTTTGCAGCTAATCAGACCAGTCTATAGTTGTGGTGAAGGTCAAAGTTCATTTCTGTAAAATATCCATAACAAATTTATGTTCATTTACAACGTGTAACCTTTTTTTTGTAACATTTTTTTCTTTTATTCTTCAATAATTCTGGAAATGAACACTAATTTTGGAGCAGACAAAATTTTAGTCAATTTTTCAGTTTTCACTCAAAAAATGTGGCTATATTTGTCATAGTCTTCTGAAGGAAAGTGCAGACTATAAATGGAACTATTTTGTGAATTTGTGAGGAAAAGAGGGAACTGGTGGTGAAATGGTTAATGGTCCTTGACAAAAGAGTTCAAAATGGGACTTATAATTTGTGATTTGTTTGTCAATCTCTGACATACACAGACCTTTCATACATTGACAATATATACAAGCAAGCATTAGACTGGCAATTTTATAATACATTTTTTTTCTTAAATTGTGGTCAGACACAAAGTTACCCTGAACTGGTCTATTCTGAGGTGTATTCATTGCTATAAATTATTCATAAGATAAGATAAGATAAATTTTTTTTTGGTACGGGGAACATATAAAATGCCATGACCAAGAACAAGAGAGAAAAAATTACATAACTACTAAACTAAAATAAACTAGACTAAAAAAGCTCTAAAATACTAAAAACAATGTTGGCTAAGCCTGAATAGATAAATTTATCGGTACTTGAAAACATTTCTGCAAATAAATTGTCATCCCCTATTATTTCAAGATTTTGTGCATACATAAATAAAGTTGTAAAAAAATCATTTCTAAAATAACTAATTTGACTATTATTACAATTAAAGATATAATGTAACTCATCCCCAATTTCATTATTTGAACACTTTGTACAAAGTCTGTTCTCTTTAGGAATACCTTTGTGCCTTCCTGTCTCTATAGGTAATTTGTGTGCATACAGGCGAAACTTAGTCATTGCCACTCTGTGTTTTGCAGATTTAATGTCACATAAATATTTCTCCATTGCATAGTCATTTTTAAATAAACTATATGTTTTTAGCTCCGCTGTCGACTTTGTCAAGCGGAGCTTATCATATGAGTGATTGTCCGTCGTCGTCGTCCTGCGTCCGTCGTCCGTGTCAATGTTTTACTTTTTCGACTTCTTCTTGAAAACTACAAGCCTGAATGCTTTGATACTTGGTGTATATGTACCTTGGGTAGACCTCTCTCAGATTTGTTCATTTCATGATCTTATCTTCAATTCTCTAATTTTGGTGAATATTTTTGTCATTTTTGGTAAAAAGTGATATTTTCGACTTCTTGTTAAAAACCACAAGTCCAATTGCTTTGATATAACATATATAGGTACTACATGTGGACCACTCTCAATTTTGTTCATTTGTATGATGATATCTTCAATTCTCCAATTTTGATGAATATGTTTGTCATTTTTAGTGAAAAGTGATCTTTTTGAATTCTTGTTGAAAACAGCAAGTCCCATTGCTTTGGTACTATGCATATTGTTCATTTTCTAATGATATCTTCTGTTCTTTAATTGAAATGTGCATTGCTAACAGCGGAGCTATCTCAGCCGACAGGCTGCTTGTTAATTAATGATATGCAGTGAAGTTTCGGAACCCGGAGTGGAACACATGCGCAAGCGATTCTACTTGTCAGATTACGTGTGCGTTATAGTTGCATAGAACAGATCACAGCAAAAGCTGCCTTTCTTATTGGTTGGCAGCTTACAATTCATGCTACTCATTAGCATATTTATCACCTTGACAACACAGGGACAACTATAGAGGACGCAACAGAACAAACCAGTTATGAAAATTTCGAGTCAACGTGAGAGATTCTTTCTTAAACCTTTTCACCACCAGTTCTGTCTTTTCATCACAAATTCACAAAACAGTCTTGTTTATAAACTGCACTTCAGAAGATTGGAAAAAATAGCCAAATTTTTTGAGTAAAAACTGAAAATTTATTCAACTTTTGTATGTTGGCTTCAAAATTAGAAGTAAATATACTTATAATATAAGAAAAAAGGTGCAGACAAATTTGGGCGAGAAAGTCTGGTGGTGAAAAGGTGAATTATGATAAAAAACAATAAAAGTCTAAGCTATGTACATGCATGTCAAGTTTTATTTTCATTTATTCACATTAAGGTTACTCAATACACTTTCACAAAAGTTTTTGAATTTTTTTTTATATGTTTGATGGATAGATTGCTATGTCATATGTAAACAAGTTTTGCTTGGTTCAGTTAAATTAGATATTTTTCATTCATTTTCCTAGAATGGTATGAGGATGCAGTACTCGCTTGGTGCCTTCTTACGTAACCGTTACATGTTCAACACCTCTCTCCTGAACAACACCTACTACCGCAGAGAGCAATTTTACGCTAGAAGTTCAGACACAGATAGGACGCTGATGTCTGCCGAGACCAATTTAGCTGCCCTGTTCCCACCTTATGATTTTCAAAGGTGGAATAAGACATTACTATGGCAACCAATTCCAGTGCATACATTACCGATTGAAGATGACACGGTAAGATTTGTAGTAACATTTAGATTGTATCATGTTTTAGAGGAATTCTACGATAATAAAATAAATTTAATGAATAAAAGTTAGCTAAGATTAGATGCATTGTGTGTCATTACTATTAATAAAAAAAAATAGAGACATACGTGTGTACAACCAATGGACCATTTTCCGTTAACTGCGAGAATCATGCGTTATGCGTGAAATAAAACGTAAAAACAGGACAAACAAAGGTCATAGTGTCGTAGTGGCGTCAAACATCGCGTGGGATTCGACAAACATGAAAATATTTTGGGGGGCATTTCCATGCTTAATAATGTGCTGTCCACATTTGATGATAGACAATTTCGATTAAGTGAGGGTATTCGGAAGCAATATTACTCTGTCCAAGATCGGCTGGTCGATGTGAGCTACAAAATAAAGAAATTCAAGTTGAAAATCAAATCGTTTGATTTTTGCGGCAGACGTTCGACGTGCGTCTTTCATGCATCTCGCGAGATCTCGCAGTTGAACGGAAAATCACCTATTGTTGCCGTCATTCATTCATTCTGTGCTCTGTGGTCCATGTCTTCGTTCATATCCTGGTCAAAATTGAACACAGAGTGAATTATGACGTCATGAAACATTGCCACGGTAGCATACATATGGATGCTTTGCAATGTCTTTCCCATACTGTACTTCCCCAGACTTCGGGCCAGGCGCCTTATTATGTAAAAATAGGGAAAGTAAGGGGTGGGCTTATACCTGAGAAACACTTCAGTTAAAATGAATTTTTTTTGGTTAAACATTGTAACTATGTTACCACTCTTTAATAATTATGCAAATTACATCTATCATTCATCATGTTGGGCTAGGGGGAATATTACGTTTTGTTGAAGAAGAAAAAATTGTGAAATGCGTTGTCATTTCCACACTCACAATGAAGAAACAAACATGTTCATAAAAATATGCAAATTTTATTACTATACGATTTATATATCATTTGAATTTAAGGTGTAAAAAATACTAGAGTCTTTGGAAAAACAGCGGAAAACAAGATCTTCATTATTTTTGTTGTGGGATGTTTTCAAGCGTAAGAAAACTTACTTCGTGGTGTTTTTGACTCCCATGTGCGAAGCACATAATGGGAGTCTTTGCAGTTAGTGTGTCTGTATGTGTGTGTGTGTGTGTGTGTGTTGGTGTAGACGTAGAAGTAGAGCCAGTAGACCAGACATACACAAACAAAGTGGAGCCCTTTGTACAAGTGGAGCCCCAAATTGGTGGCTCCACAATGTTTCATAATTTATATTAATATTTAATTGAATTTAAGTCAGTTTGCG